AAGATTCAAAAATGAGTGGCCAAAAGCAATATATATATATATATATATATATATATATATATATAAAATTATAAATAGTGGATTTTTTAAATAGATTTATTTTTGGCATTTTTGCCTTTTACATAGGACAGTATGTAGACATGAAGCGAAGTGGGAAATAGAGGGGGACAGGATCAGGAAGAATTTAACATGCTCAAAGTAAAATCAGGCAACACAACATTCACTTTACATCTATGCAATTGGTAGACGGTTTTTCCAAAGTGACTTACATTGCATTCAAGCTATTCATTTTATCAGTTGATGCATTGCTGCACCGCACTGACAGCATGACCAAATCAGCATATTAGAATGATTTCTGATTTGATTCTGATACATTTTCAACATTTTTATCAATTTTGCATATGCATAACTCTATAAGTTTCTTTAATTGTACTTATTGGAATGTTTAATTTCACTGAATTATTTGGTGGATTTACCAACCAACAACACGGGAGTCTGTGAGTGTTTTAACCGATTCATGAAAAGAGCCAGCTGAGAAGAGTCATTCATTCATAAATCAGACTACACTGATCAAGCTGTGTGTTTGTTTTTGCATGCAGCCAGAACAATTTTGATTGTATTCAGTGATTCATTAATTGCATCATAACAAGATTTAATGCTAAGAGTCTTTTATTCCACCTTTTGAGTGCTGCATGCTTGTTCTCTAGAGTCCGTGCCACCCACATGAAAAAACCTCATCCGTGTTAATTTTTCGATACCCAGTTACAAAACCTGTTAACAGTAACCAGACCTCAAACCACTACATAGCAGCCGATATATCTCTATCCACCTCTGACATCTACAAACCTCACTGATTCTTCCTCTGCATTCACATGCACAGGTCTTGATAGAGGAAAGGGTAGATGCGTAATTAAGGTTTAGCCTTTGGAGCACTCTTAGCCTATTAATAGGCGGTTGCGCTGGCAGTGTGGTGCAGGCGTAGAGTGGGAATGTGAGCCCTGATCTCAGACAGATAACAAGCTTGAGAACAGCTGAGTCACCCTCACAGACTTTCTATTCCTGTGGCAGAGTCAGCCGGGCACAGTGTGCATGTGCGTGAGTGACTGTGTGTGTGTTTGCACGACAAGGCACGAGTTCGGCGGACCTCTATACACCCACGGACACTGGTAATGGGCATACTAACACAATGACACATGTAAAATCTTCCCTGCAGGCTAATTATGATAGAGAACATCCGGCATACCCAGATATGCCAAGTCTCTATCAAATATTAACAATACAGACCATTGCAAAGCACTTCACAGCAGAGAGAGGAGTCTAGCGAACTGGTACGACTATACATCAAGCATCTTCTTAGTTTGCTAGCTTTATTTAATCATCACAGTAAGACGAACTGCTTTCTGTTTGACAGCCAGCACAGCAGGTTCCAAAAGATTATGTAAACTTACAATCCTATCTGCTCAGGTCTCAAACAGATATTTGCTATAACATATATAAAAACGCCATCAAATCCGTCTTAACTCAAGCGAGCACACTAGGTTTTACATCCTGTCTAAGAAATCAGTGTTACCACAGATCAGAAATGATTTACCACAGAAATCATTTATATCATGTGTGTCATAGGAAATCTTTGGCATCTGCATCCAATTATGTGAAATACCTTCCATCTGACCTCTAAAGACCCTCTATCTGTGTGTAATGTATCTGTGAGAAACAAGACAACCAAACACTGATGTGCTGATTAATGGTGGCAGGCATTAGGGCTCACCAATATAGCTAAAAATTTTATATTTTGTTCCTCAGTATTTTGAGCCTTTTGACAATATTCATTACATATCACAACAGCTATGCATTTACTTTTTCATGTAGTATTTTTGGTGGAATGGACTTTCAACGGAAGTAAAGAAATCTCTCAGGTTTCATTAAAAATGTGTGTTTCGAATATGAATGAAAGTCTTATGGGATGACATGAGGGTGAGTAAATTATGTCAAAATTTTCATTTTTGAGTGAACTCTCTCTTTAAAAACTGTCAAATTAAAATTGCAATAAAATCTCTGCAGTGGTCACAATGTTGCGTACTTTTATTTATACTATAATAATATTACAAATATTCAATATATTGCCCAGCCCTACCAGGCATACAAACACTTAAAAAGACACATTTAGACAGACAGAAAGACTCTGTCTAAATAAAATATATACGGTGCACTCACCCCTCCTCCTGCCTCCCAGCCTTTAGGGTGACCATACAGATGCGCAGTGGATACTGTTGAAACTGATACCTGAGAGAGTCCAGGGGAGGAGGCGTGACCCGGCAGTGTGGCTGCTAGGTTAGGGTGTCCCTTGTTAATTTCATGTGCTGTATATGGGGGGCCAGGGTGTCTCTGTACCTGAGAAAACAAAGGGAAAACTGTGTCAACAGTTGAGAGTCGGACAAAACAATAATTACTGTTTTTAAAGTCAACATGAAATGACATTAACAATCCCCCTTATTTTTGTAACGCAAAATGTTGAATAATGTTTTATTTGGTAACAACATGAAAAAAAAGGGGGGGCATTGGAAGTGACTGAACCGTAAACCAAACCAAAAAGTTAGTTTAGAGGACTAGCTCTCCCACATTGGAGGAGGATTTGTGACCATGAAGTGGAGTATGAAGGTCAAAGTTCACCCTCAAGGAGGTCACATCATCTCCCATAGTTTTTTTTTTTTTTTTCAAATCGATCTTTATTTGCTATTGTTGTAACTTTTTGTACATTAAAGTGTACCGCAATTCACTAAATTTGATTTTAAGGGAAGCTACACCACTGTCCAAGTTTGGGGTCGGTAAGATTTTTTTGTTGTTGTTTTTGAAAGTCTCTTATGCCCACCAAGGCTGCATTTATTTGATCAAAAATACAGTAAAAACAATAATGTTGAAATATTAATATAATTTAAAATAACTGTTTTCTAATATAAAAAAAACAAACAAAAAAAATCTTACAGATCCCAAACTTTTGAACAGTAGTGTATATTACCTGCAAAAGTAACCTAAAACAAATACATAGCTATTTGGCTATTGGTTAACATTACTTTCCCCCACCCACAGCCCTGATGTCATCAAACGAATAAGGATGTCATCAGACAGCTTTACCTCATTTCAGATTATATTACATTTTGATGAAAGACAAAAACTGATGAATCATGCTCAGTAATACCAGAAACATGCATTAAAGGGGTCCTATTATGCTTTTTCACTTTTTCAACATTAGTTAGTCTGTAATGTTGCTGTTTGAGCATAAAAAAGATCTGCAAAGTTACAAAGCTCAAAGTCCACTTCAAAAGGAGATATTTTATTTAACATAAATCACTTTTCAAAAAAACTACAACAAACGACACGTTTGGACTATAACGCATAATTTCCGGGATTATGTGATTTTTGTGATATCACAAATATCGACGAATGGGACGAGACCTGGTTGAGCTGCACTAGAGAAGGCAATGAGTGTTATCACTATGTCGGAGACACGCTAGCTTTCCCAAGGTAGACTAACCTAGAGTGGTTACAAACATCCGGGTTTAAATCGCACTCAAATTGATTTGATTTTGACGCAATATTTACACTGAAGCTCGCAGGCGGCTATGATAAGGGGCATGACATTTCCCGACCAGGCGCCGAGTGCTGCCAATCACAACATACACTGGCCCAGCTAACCAATCACAGCACATTTCGTATTTCAGAAGGCGGGCTTTCATTTGATACAGGAACTATTCGAGCCGTTCATGCCAGACTGGGGAGAGAGGTGTTGTAATAATGTAAAATATGTGAAAAATAATGTGCTTAGTGCTAACCTAGTATGAGAGCCTGTTCTAGTACACCCCCAAAACAAAATCAAGACTTTGTAAAAGAGCATAATAGGACCCCTTTAAGGAAGCAAATCCTTTTAAATGCATTGAATTTAACGCCATCGTTTGAGGCAGCTTTCCTCATGGTCAAATTAACTGTGAACAAAGCCGAAATAGTGTTAAACAATAGAAATTTGGCTTTATCCTGTGTACTCTAAACTACATCTTGTAGACCGGTTCTTTATATTACAACAAACATGGTCTGCTTACATGTAGATAGCAATCAGCCACCACATTAAAACTCTCCTGTGAATACTCATTACAGCAACAGCAGTTATGGTCCATTATCATTGCTTATACAGGCATATGAGAGAGTGCAGTGTCATTGTCAGTTCTCCCTGGATTTTCAAAGTTGCTGCTGTAATTATAAATTGCAAATGCAGGCCAGAAACTGACAATGAGATTAACTTGGTGGTTGCACAGCGAGAGACTGCAGCCCGAGCTATTCCATAATTCATTAAAGAAAACAAGAAACCTGCAGTCCTGTTGTCTTCCTCGCAGATCAAAGGCTTCAAACAGAGAGCGGCCTGTTTTTACGTACTGTGAGAGCTAAAGAACGGTCATCTGCAAGCCAGACGTGTTCATCTGGAAGCTTACAGTAAAACAAACATCTTCGCCTCGGTTATACAGCATACGTATTCAATGACAATCAGTCAGTCTGAACTAAACACCTGAAATTGGCTTCCTGACTGGCATGACTGGCTTCCTGGCTTTCCCAGGCAACATCAGCTGGTGGAGAATGACCCACTTATTTGCTGAGATTACGCAGCTTACCCAGCAGCCTTGGCTTTTCCAGGGTGGGGTGCTTCTGTGCTAAGAAGGGGTGGGTGAGATCACACACGCAGCCCTATGGCTCCCAGAACGAGGGGCTTTCTGACCAACAAAGGAAGCAGGAACAGGAGAAAGACCAGCTCAGCAGAAAAAAGCACCCCACCCTTCCACTTCCCTCACTACAGTACTGTTCAAACATCATCAGTCCTGCTCGCTCAGCCTCATGTCAGTCCAGCCCGCTGTCAGAAATCAATTTTCTTATTAACGGGTAACACTTAGCAATCCCTCCATTTGTGTAAAATATTTGTAAATATTAAATATTCAAATATTATAGATTGGCCTAGAACAGAATATTAAGAAAAAATATTAAATGTTACATAACTAAGGAAAATTTCAGAAAACTACAATTTGGCCAATTTTTGTAACCACACTGTATCCATGCCTGACTTTTTGGGGATATTTTTTACAATAAATCTGGAAGATTTATTGACAATAAATTGTAAAGATTTATATTTAAATTTAACTTTCATTTTTTTAGCATCTGAACACTGGACATCTAAAAGATATAAAGTACTTTGTTATATATAATAAAACAATATACTTTTTATTGTTAGTGCTCTCAAAACTGTGTAAAAAATTTTTTTTTAAATTATGACTAATATCATGCTTTTTCCCCACTTCCAGTGGCAGAATATACACTACCATTCAAATGTCTGGGGTCAGTAAATTTTTTCTAAAGAAAAAATTAATCCTGCTCTCCTGAATTATTACTTAGCTACAGCGGTAAACAGCTTCCACCCATACACATGGTGGTCCTCATGTTGATGACTCAAATGCACTGCGGTTAGGAGTCAAATAATTCAATGTTATAAGACATCTGCGGGGACAGAGGAGTGGTCTGATCCCAAGTTAGAGTCAAAGCAATCATACAATGTACGAGAACTGCTTTATTTCTATATAACATGCTTTAAAGAACCTGTTATATTCTTTAAAGGGGTCATGACATGAGAAACCAAATTTCCCTTGATCTTTTGACATAGAAGAGGTCTTTGTATGCTTAATACATCCTGTAAGTTTCATAACTTAAAATGTCCTCATCGCCAATAAAAAAGCATTTCAATCATGACAACTCTCGGAACATTTTAGCATGGTGATGGATATGACAATGTTAATGCATTTGGTCTTGGCGGAATTGCTGCTGCTGTTGGTCATTGCTGTATTTGTAGATTATTGCTGCTGCTGCAAGCAAGTACAGGAACTTGCTACTGCCAATGCATATGGCGATACGTTGCTGTGAGTATTTAAGACATGCTGCTGCTGCACAAATAGCATATAAAATAACCCCCCAACAAAGCTGGAAGAAGAAACAAAACATTTAAATATGTATGCTGCCGCTATACAATAATATGCTTAACATCATCCCTATAAGGCAGAAGGAATATAAAAGATAAAACCCCCCAGAACAAGCAGATCTATTGCCAAGACATACGTACTGCTGCTTCTCCGGAGAGCCGTGAGACCGTGTGTTGCTATCTATGTGAGCCTGGGCTGGCTTTGCCTAATGGCTTTGTCTGCTTTTTTTATATTAATTGTCTAAATTAAAATTTGCAACATAGAAATGCTGTGCATGCTGCTGCTGAGAAAAATCTCGATGACTGAATGCCTATACAAGCTGCTGCTACTGCACAAGACTATGCAAGCTGCTGCTACTGCTACTGAACTGCTGAGAGCTCCATTAATTAGGCATACGAGTAGCTAGGTGAATGCCTATTTTACTCTAACATGGTGTCTACGCCAGACACGAGTGGCACAATATGACCAAATCAATAGACCTGTAACGATAGGTAAAGTGGTCTGTAATGTATGCAGTGCGATATGGCCAACGCAACAAAACCTGCTGTAAGCCCTGTTGAATTAGCAAAGTAATAAATACCTATTGCACTTTAAAGAGTTAATTTACCTTCCATGAGTTATCACTAAAATTTTATGCAACTAAACCGCTTTCTGCTGCCGATTTTATTTGTGTTACTTATTTATTTGATTTGGGGCTTGTTTTAAAATTTCAATGTAGTTTTGTTATTTACATTTGCATTATATTTAAATGTTGTCATTTAGCAGATGCTTTTGTCCAAAGCACAATAATAAAAGGACACATTTAATTTATAATTTGCCTTAAATCTCACATCATGAATCGAATCGAATCGTGAGTTAAGTGAATCGTTACATCCCTACTATAAGCGTCTTTATTAAACAATGAAACGCAAACAAATAATGCCTATTTCGCTTTGAAGAG